AAAGATGTTTTCCACACCCTTTTCGTTTGAAGATGAGGGACAAATGCCCTCCACCTATTGAATCTCGTCGTGTCCGCAGTTGTGCTCTAAGTCCTGTGGCGGCGTTTCGTAAACGAGCTTCTCTGCGCCGAGAACTGCGAAGGTCGTTCTCCAGCCGAGTGATATAAGGAACAAGGTGGCCATGCCTCCCACCAGCTGCTATTGCGGTGCTGTCGCCAACGCCCCCGCCGTCTCCATCGCAATCGTGAAATTCAACGGCAGGAGAAGGTGCATCGTCTCCAGCACGCGGAATTTCCTCGGCGCTGTCAAGGTCGACCACAGACGCTTGCTGGATGCAGGCTCGAAGACGATCCGTATCTATGGGAGCCGAGATCTTAAGAACTGCGCGCAAACACTCAACAGCGTCCAAATCGTACCACGTGGACTCGTCGTGCCTGAAGGATTGAAGCCGTCTGGCGCAAACCTTGAACGATGCGTGCCCGCAGGAGCTGCTTGAATGTGCTATGAGCACGTCTCCCAAACGTAAAAAAAAAAAAACGGACTTTGTAATCTGAATGCAGCCCTCGTGCGTCCGACAATTGCCTTGGCAAACAGACACAACAAGTGCTTCCATGAGACAGAAATGGCTACGGATGTAGACCTTTCGTGTTAAATTCACGTGTTGTTTCTGAGTAGTGCTTCGTTTTATGCTATTGTGTTGCGTTGAGTTGCGTTCGTATTAAGTTCGCGTTGGATGCATATTGAAATCAGGTCACGTTGGGTTTATATTAAGCGATAAAACCGCGGGGGAGGAGAAAACAAATCTGACGCCAGTTTTGGGACCGCGGCGAAGCCCACTCCCGACTATCGACTTGCACCTCCCCAGCGCACGACGCAACGAGCGACGAGCGACAAGCGACGACGACGACGACGACGACGCGAGCAGCATGTAGGTGGCGATCTGCCCCCCTGCGCCTGTGTACGCCGCAACGCTCGCTTGCACCACAGCGCGCGTGTACACCACAGCGCCTGCGTACATCGCAACAACCGTGTGCAACGCAACGCCTGTGTACACTGCAGTGCTTGCGTACACCACAGCGCCGGTGTACATGTGCGCACCGGAGGCAACCATGTGCAACACAACGCCTGTGTACACCACAATGCTTGCGAGCACCGCGGCGCCTGTGCACGCCACAACGCCTGTCTATACCACAGCATCCGCGTGAAACGCAGCGTTATTGTACACCATAGTGCCTGCGTGCATAGGACAGGTAGAAGGAGCCTGTACGTGAGGATCTGCCGCAGAAGCGCCACGCCAGGAAACTACTGATAATCGAATGCGACGTTTTTCCCTCTTCCCTTCTCCTTCGTGTTCACCTCCTCCTCCTCCTCCCCTCCTTTTTCTCTTTCTCCTCCTCCTCCTCGTCCTTACCGCCTGTGGTGCGCTACAGCGCACGTGCGCAACTCAGCGCGCACCGCAGAATTGTCTATTGAGTCGGCCCGCTTGGTTCTCGGACGGCCAATTCAGCTGGAGCCTCTTGGACGCAAATGGGAAGAGTTACGGTGACGCGGGCGAACTCGGAAGGACTCGTAGATTCCCCTGGCGCTCCCTTGTCCATGAGGATTATTTTCTGGTGTTTTCGGTGGAACCCACAAGCGCTCCATTTTGTCATAACGACTCCTTCTAACATTCTACATACAACAGTGGTGCTGTGTTGCACGCGGTTGCTGTGGTGCACACAAGTGCCGTGGTGTACACAGGCACTGCAATGCACGCAGGCGTTGTGGTGTACACTGCTGTGTTGCACACGGCTGATTTAGGTGGCATATGATGGGAGCTTCGTTTGTCGAACTTAGCGTCGCCTGCGCCCCACACTAGTGCAATTTAGTGCAATTTAGTGGCGTTTAGTGTGGCGCGGCGGGAGGCGCTCGTGCAAGCAATTTAATGTAATTTAGCGTAATTTCGTGGCGCGTAGTGCAATTCAGTTGCGTCTAGTGCAATCTAATGCAATTTAGTGCAATTTAATGCAATTTAGTGCAAGTTAGTGGCGTTTGGTGCGCCCCACACTAGTGCAATTTAGCGCAATTGAGTGGCGTTTAGTGTGGCGCGGCGGGAGGCGCTCGTGCAATTTAGTGCAATTTAGTGTAATTTAGTGGCGCGTAGTGCAATTCAGTGGCGTTTAGTGCAATTTAGTGCAATTTAGCACAAGTTAGTGCAAGTTAGTGGCGTTTGGTGCGCCCCACATTAATGCAATGTAGCGCAATTTAGTGGCGTTTAGTGTGGCGCGGCGGGAGACGCTAGTGCAATTTAGTACAATTTAGTGTAATTTAGTAGCGTCTAGTGCAATTTCGTGGCGATTAGCGCAATTTAGTACAATCGACTGCAATTTAATGCAAGTTAGTGGCGTTTAGTGCGCCCCACACTAGTGCAATTTAGTGCAGTTTAGTTGCGTCTAATACAATTTAATGCAATTTAGTTCGCCTGCGGGAGGGACAGGAAGAAAAGAAAATTTGAAAAAGGTTGCGGCCGATCTTAGGAATCTGGCATTGCTCGCACAACTGCGATTTCGCGCGCGCGCACCGACCGGCGTGCACGAGCAATGCTACGCAACACTAAACAACACTAATACACACTAAATGATCACGAAGCAGGAAGCAAGACACCATTGGGTGAAAAAGAAAGCTCCCATCATTTGCCACCTAAGCTGATGTGGTGTACGCAGGCGCTGTGGTGTACACAAGAGCTGTTGTGTCCGCGCGCGCGATGGCACAAACTGACGCTGCGTTGCACGCGGCTGCTGTGGTGTACATAGGCGATGTGGTGTACACAGGCGCTGTGGTGCACGCAGGCGCTGAGGTGCACACAGGCGTTGTGGTACACATCGCCACCTACATGCTGGTGCCATCCGTCCTCCGTCATTCCTAAGCATTCCCAGGCGCCGCCGGCGCGAAGCGTGACGTCATCGACCCCCTCCACCCCCCCCAGATGATTGCCGTCATCGGCCCGTTTTTTTTTTTGTTTTTTATAAAAGCTCCAGCCGCGTCCGCGCGCACGACGACGATGAGCGACGAGCGACGAGCCACGAGCCACGAGCGACGACGACGACGACGACGACGACGTCGACGACGACGACTGCGGACCAAATTCCTATGCGGATTCCTACGCGGACACCTACGCAAATCCCAATGCGCACGGCGGCAATGCCCGGAGCGCACTGTGGGGGGGGGAGCGTTACGTCATAGGGGGGGAAGGGGGGGGCGGGGGCCATGACGCCCGTCATGCCCCAAGCAATAAGGAAATGGTATCCTCGTCAGGGCTCGCTTCTGCAGCAGCACGGGCAAATTTACGCTGGAGCGGGCCGACGCCTTCCCACATTAAGTTCCACCCGCCTCCAGGCGGCAACAAATGAGACCCCCTCTTGGCACAGGGGCCCCACGACACAAGACCGCCCCCGGCTTCAACGTGAAATCTCCCGGCCTCGTCGAGCACCAGCGCGGGTTACCCCCCCACTCCTCTTCTCCAAGGCACCGTCTATACCTGCATTTACTCCCAGCCCTGTCGGCAACACTCAACACCCCGAAGATGATGAAGCCATCCTATATCACTTTCCCAAAACTTTCGCCAGAACGAATTCGTGCACGCATGCATCTTTTCGTAGTTGTCGATGAAGAAGCCGTCCTATATGAGTACCCTAAGCCTTCTCGCTGAAAATACCTACGTCGAGCTTCTGAACCATACTCTTCCACTCTTTTCCTTGTGTTTCCTTGATCTAATTCCCGAAAGCCCCCCCCCTCCCCTGCTAAGTTCTCGCCGGAAATCTCGCCGTCGAGCTTCTTTACTACACGTTTCTACGACATTCTTCTTTTACGCCATTATCTTCATTCCCGAAACGCCCCCGTGTCCGCGGAGAATTCGTGCATGCGTGCATATTTTCTTCGTGGTTGTCGATGATGAAACCGCACTCTCTAAGTATCCAAAACCTTCGCGTTGGAGATATCGACATCGATATTATCCAGCACATTCCTTTTTTGTTCGCCCTGACCCTAATTCCCGAGATGCCCCCCCCTGTCCGTAGCGAATTCGTGCATGCATGCATCTGTTTTACGTGGTTGTCGATGATGAAGCCACCGTATCGAATTATCCTAAGCCCTCTCGCAGGAGATCTCGCCATCGAGCTTCTTTACAAGACTATTATACTACATTATTATTTCCCGCCCTGATCTTCATTCCCGAGACGTCCCCGTGTCCTCAGCGCACACGTGCATGCATGCAGATGCTCTTCGTGGTTGTCGACGGTGGCCCAGCGACCCAATGTCAGCTCCCCCCGACACCCCTGCACCTATATACCCCCTCCCTGCCGCCAACCTCTAACCACACGACGATGATGAAGTTGCCCTTGTTCCCGACAATAATTTTGAAGGTTCGGCCGCAAAGCGGTTCTTGGACAGTCGCGGGGTTCGCAACAGACTGCCCCTGACCCCCGCGAACGGGGCCAATTCACACTTGAAGATTACAGTTGTGAAGCCTGAGCTCGATACTGGTGAAACGGGACGTCGTCGAACTACCTGCTTATTCCCCCTCCCCCCCCACGACCTTACGATAATAATGAACACAAAAAACGCTTGGCGTCTCGGCAGCGTGGACCATCCATACTGCCGCGGCCTCGTCAGGGCCCGCTTCTGCAGCAGCACGGGCAAATTCACGCTGGAGGGGGCCAACGCCTTCCCATGTTCAATCCCACCCCCCTCCAGGCGGCAACAAACGAGACCCCCCTCAGGCACAAGGGCTCCTCGACACACGCACACACATGTACACACACACACACGCACGCACGCACGCACGCACGCACGCACGCACGCACACACACACACACACACACACACACACGCACGCACGCACGCACGCACGCACGCACGCACGCACGCACACACACACACACACACACACACACACACACACGCACCCACACACACACACACACACACGCACACGCACACGGCGCGCGTCTGCCCAGCGGCGCCGGTCCCAACGAGGCCCTGCAGGCACTGCACGCCCGCCAGCTGCACCCGCGGCACATCGGGCAACCCCGCCTGCGGAGCGGGCGGCCGCACCCGCGCCCTGGCCCGCAGTGCCTCTGGAGAGATCGGAGGGGGCGGGGGGGGAAGGAGGGGGAGTCCCCGAGAGCTGGTGGAGGAAGGAAGGAAATGGGGAGGAAGGGGGGGCAGGGTGAAGCCACGGGTGAGGGCGGAAGATCGGATGAAGGGGGGGCGGAAAGGGGTAAAGGAGGGGGGACGGGATCTGCGAGCGATCTGCATACACGGGCTTGACATGGTGATCTGCGTTTGGGGTGCAGCTTTTGGACTCCCATCCAGCTCTGATCACCAGTCCCCACTCAAGCCGAGCGAGGGAGAGTTGGGTTTGCCCCAGGAATCACCGGACTGGTCCCATCTGACACCCGCGAGGTGCCCCAAAGGGGGCACTTCGAGAACCTCTTCGGCACCGCTGTCACAGAAGTACAGCTAAACAGCAGCTCCACGGTAGTACGACAACGAGCTAGTCGCCACTCGCTCTTCGTTGCGAACTCCCCCTAGGCGCTGTACTCGGAACCCGCTGCCCAATGCTCACTACTCACGAAACTCACTGCCCAATACTCACTGCTGCCCAGAACTCGTGCTCTCGCCGCGGCTCTGGCTACCTTCTCCGTCGGGCATTGGGGGCACGAATCTCCTCGCAGAGCCCGATTCGATAACAGAAATGTGACCACATGGGCGGCATCGGCATGGCCATACCTCCCTCCCTCCCCTCCCTCCGTCCCTCCCTCCCGCTCGGAGCCAAGACATGCAAGGACACCTCAGGCAAAACAGGCCCGACCACCTCGCGCATGGCATCTCGAGGCCCAGAATTGCGATCATGTCTCAGGAGAAACGGGCCGGACCATGTCGAGTGCGGCATCACGGGCCGGGGGAGCCCGGAACCTCTCCTGGACCACAACTTAGTAACAGAAATGTGAAATCGAACGCATCGACCTAGCGCTGACTCCCTCCTCTATCCTCCTCCCTCCACACTCCCTCCATCCATGAATCCCTTCCATTTCCCTCTCTCCCTCCTCCCTCAGCTTCCCGGCGTTGGTCTCTTCACCAGCCATGTGGGACCATTCACTGGCCAAATGGGACCTTTCACCGGCTGATCTGTTCATCGGCCACGTTGTTCAATTGAAAGTTACTTGTAGTGTTTGCATGTGGGTCTCCAGGAATAAAAATATTGTGGTAGCTCCTCCCATCTTTGATGTCATTTGATGTTTGATGTTCTGCCGAACTATCCTGTGGTGTTGGGTCCTCGCTTTGAAGAGACAGTGCCCCGCGTTCTCACTTCTCCTCCCGTTCCTCCCCCTCCTCCCTCCTCCCTAGCGCCCAGTACAGCGCTTCGTGGCCCCGTAGGGAAATCCACCTACAGCTCCAGTGGCACAGCCCGCATGAATCTCCCACACACACACACACACACACAGCACAACGTTTGGTGGCCCGACAGGGAGCTCCACCGGAGGTCCCGGTGGCGCAGCCCGCATGCGTCTCCCAGACCCAGTACAACACTTCGTGGCCCCATAGGGATCTCCACCGAACGCTCCATTGGCGTAGTCCGAATGCGTCTCGCGCACCCAGTACAGCGCTTCGTGGTCCCACAAGGAGCTCCACCGAAGGTCCCGGTGGCGCAGCCCGCATGCGTCTCCCCCGCCCAGCACAACGCTTCACAACCCCATAGGGAACTCAACCGGACGTCCCAGTGGTGCAGCCCGCATGCGTCTCCCACACCCAGCACAGCGTTTCGTTGCCCTGTATGGTGCTCCACCTCAGCGCCCAGTGGCGGTGTCCGCATGCGTCTCCCCCACCTAACACAGCGCTTCGTGGCCCCATAGGGAGCACCACCTAAGGCCCAAATGGCGGCGTCCACATGCAACCCCCCCACCCAGCACAACGCTTCGTGGCCCCATAGGGAACTCAGCCGAGGGCCCCGGTGGCGCAGCCCGCATGCGTCTCCTCCACCCACTACAGCGTTTCGTGGACCCACAAGGAGGGGGCTCCACCGAAGGTCCCACTGGCGCAGCCCGCGCGCGTCTTCCACACCCAGTATAACGTTTGGTGGCCCAACACGGAGCTCCACCGAAGGTCCCGGTGGCGCAGCCCGCCTGCGTCTCCCCCGCCCAGTACAGCGCTTCGTGGCCCCATAGGGAGTTTCACCGAAGGTCCCGGTGGCGCAGCCCGCATGAGTCTCCCACACCCAGCACAGCGTTTCGCTGCCCCGTAAGGAGCTCCACCGACGATCCCAAGGGCGCAGCCCGCATGCGTTTCCCAGAACCAGTACAACTTTTCGTGGCCCCGCAAGGAACTCCACCAAAGGTCCCAGCGTCGCAGCCCGCATGCGCCCCCCCCCCCCCGCCCAGTACAGCGATTCGTGGCCCCGTAGGGAGCTCCACCGAAGGTCCCAGGCGCGCGGCCTGCATGCGCTTCCCCAACCAAGCGCAGCGTTTCGTGGCTCCATAGGCCTTACGGGCCCACGAAACGCTGTAGCGAGCCCCGCCGAAGGTTCCAGTGTCCCTGTGGGCCCTATGAAGCCCCATAAGGAGCTCCACCGAAGGCCCCAGCATCGCAGCCCGCATGCGTCTCCCCCGCCCAGCACGGCGCTCGGCGGCGCTATGCGGGGGCTCCGCCGAAAACGACGCGTGCAACTGCAGTATTCACAGCTACGTATGGTTGGGTCCTTCGCCTGGTTAATTTTCGAAGGCCGACGAAGAACCTATTTCTGGATCTGCACCAAGAAGAGGAGAAGCAGCAGTGAACCAAGGGGGCGAGCCCATCCTTCGCGCCTCGCCGCCGCGGACCGCGGGGGGCGCCTCAGAAGAGGAGGCGCAGCTGGCTGCGCGCCGCGGCGACAAGGTCGTTGTCGCAGACCTGGCCGACGAGCTCCACGTGAACGAGGCCGATGTTCAGCGTTCAGTTGGGGAGACTCGCCAGCCGCTCTCACGCTCGGTAATCGAGGTCGACTTCATTGGTGCTACATGGAAGAGGCGGCTCGCTGTCGGAGCCTGTGTAGGTAGCCTCCGCCGGAGGCTGTGGAACTCCAGGTGGCCGCGGAGGCACAGGCACTGCTGGGCTGAGAACGTTAGCGGGGGATGCAGTCATCGCGTGGTAGCCATGGTCGCGACGCGCGGCCGATTGCGACAGTGGCTCGGCAACAGAATGTACAAGCGCGTCGCCGTGGGGAACTTCAGGTGGCCGTGGAAGCACAGGCGCGTCAGCGCCATCGTCAATGAAGCATGACATAATGCAGCGCTGCCCTGCAGGTGGCTGAGCTGACATCGCCGGCGGAGGATAAAGCAGTAGCGTGGTAGCCCTGGCCGCGACGCGCGGCAGAAGGTGGCAAAGGCTCGGCAACATAACGCCCAGGCGCGTCGTCATGATGTGAAGACCTCTGGGGGGAAGACTCAGCCGTGACTTCGCGGGGTCGCGGAGGCGCTGGAGCCGGGCGAGCACCATGTTGGAGACGGTCACGCGCTGCCCGAAGAGCGCGGAGATGTGAATCGCACTGGGGGCCTTTCCGTTCGTCAACATGAAGATGGCACAACTCGAGGGCGACATGGCAGGCGAGGACCAGACGCATGATGGCGTTCGGCAGGGACCGCCCATGCATTGGCGCCAATGGATAGTCGGCAGCCGCCCCAATCCCAATGCGCGCCAATGGCCGAGAGTGCGCGAAGGCCCGGGGCAGACAAGTCAGATGGTGCCAGCGGGGACGCTGGAAATGGTTGCCGATGGCGTCGGTTTCAACGCAGCCCAAGAGGCAGCTCACCCGATCGGGCCGCGCGCGCATCATATGCGTCGCGCGCCTCCCCCCGCAGATTGTTCCGAGCACCGCCGAGCGCCGGGCCGCAGAGAGCTGACCAATGCGCTAGCGCAGCTGAAGCCAGCGCTGCTGGAGATCACGAGGCACGGCGTCTGGGCCACATCACGCAGTGATCCTCTTGGAGAGGGCGTGCCGCAGACGGGCGGGGCGGCCAGGCAGGGCGACGGCGCGCTGCAGCAAACGTCGAGGACGCGGTAGCGGTCCGTCGCCGGTGACCTGGGAAAGCTGTCGCTGGACACCGCGAATGGTCTGTGACATCTGGCGCGGCGCCACCTCCATTGGGGCGCCCGCGAGCCCCTCCTGCGCGCGGGCAAATCGCCGCGCGATCGCCATTGGTGTCTGCCAGAACGCAGGCGACCATTGGCTCCGAATGTGCGACGCCAGCGGGAAGTGCTCCAGGGCAGCGTCGCTCGGGAGGTCAAGGTCGCGTCTCCAGGTGTGGATCGCGTGCTGCGACGCACGCCGCAACGAGGCAATGTCGCAGGGCGCCAGGCCGCGTGGCGTCGGGGATGGAGACCAGGTCGCAAATTCAACAATGCCCGTAAGTGTCATAGTGTCGGGAGGAAGCCGAAGTACGCGACGGCGCGCGTGATTTTCACGCTGTAGTATCTCGCGTGGCAAGTCGATGCGCTTTGCACGAGGTAGCCGAGGACCGCAATACGAGGTCTGGCAAGGCCTGGCCAGCACATCCGCGGGGGCTCCAGCGATAGAGAGCGCCGCGACGCGCGTCCACCAGTTGTTTGGGGACGCCTGCCACTGCAATTGATTCGTCGCTGCAGGCCCAATATTCGCACCGAGGTGCGTACCACCCCCCTGCATGTCGAGGCATTGCCACCCGGGGGCGTTGCTGGCGAGGAACGCACGGGCATCTTGCTGCACCGGCGATGTCGTCGCAGCCCTCAGCGGGATGATGACGCAATTCCTTGGATGGAGCTGCAGATGTCAAAGAAGTGAGGCGGCATTAAAGACCGAGCGCAGCGCTGGTAGATCCCGTAGCCCGTTGAGATGTAGCCCCAGGTCGCCCGCGCATGCAGCGGCAGTGCCCACGCCAGCTGACCCAATCTGCGATTCGAGCGCGCGGGTGATGACGCCCATCGCAATGGCCCAAATCGCGCCGGGCAGTCGCGGCGCACCGCGACCACTCCATGGGCGCCGCGGCAAAGTGCGCGGGCGGCATTGGCGAAGCCTTGATCGAATCAGAACTTCGACAACGCGGCAAACGGCCAGTCGCGGTCAACGGGGGGGAAGGCCGCAGCGATGTCGAAGTGAGCTTGTGCAGGGCGCTCCGCAGTTGAGTATGGTGGATGGCCCGCAGCGCGACCCAGCGCATCCGCGACCGCGAGATTGCGGCAGAAGTTCCGGCCACGGATGAAGCCCTGCTGAATATGATGGGCATGCTCCTCGGGTGGTATACGCATATGTTCATTGAGCGCGGCTGCGAAAAAATTGCTGTCGGTGTTCTTGCGCGAGATCGGGCGAAGGGCGTCGGGCGGGCGCCCCGGCGCAGACGGCGTCGTCGTCGCCCGCGGCGCCACTCGGGGTGTAGGAGAAGATGGAGTCGTTGAAGCCCGTCGGCGCCCGATCCGATTCCAGCATGCCCCAGATCAGGTCATCGAGGCCGTCCAAGGCCTTGGGCGCCGACAGCCGCGCACGGCACGGGAGTCGATCGGGTCCTGGAGCAGAGGCCCGCGCGCTCTGAGCTGCTCTTCGAAGCGCTGCGTGAGTCGGTGGAGAGAGTTGCGGCGGTCGAGGTAGTCAGGGCGAGCGTTGCTGCACAAACGTATTCACGGCGTGACGGTCGACGTTCTCGCGGGCGAAGATGAGAAGCCAGTGGGCCTGGAGCGCCCGAGCCGCGCCGCGAGGGATCTTCGCAATCGCCCGCTGGCCAGGGGTGCGAGCGCCGACCAGTTGGATGACCCTGGCAAAGGAAGCCCACTCTCGCGCGCTGCGACGTGCAGCGCGGGCTGCTTTTTGCTGGTGGGCTGCTTCCAACTCACGACCTCCCCGCGCCGCGCGCTGGGCCGTAGCTGCTGCCTGTCGCTTCTGCAGAAGGTAGCGGCCGCGGCGAGCCTTCTGCGAGGGCTCCGCCAACGCCGCCTCATCCGCAAGCTGCGCGCGATCGTTCACCAGTTAAAGCAAGTGGCGACCGCGTGAGTCCATCGCGGGGAGGGCGGCAGCATGGGCGATGCCCCGGCGCCACGCCACCCTTGAGATCGAACGGTGCACCAGGAGTCGCGCCTCAGCGGGGGCTTGTCCACGCTGGCCAGCAGGTAGCTGTAGAAGATGGTTCCTGGCGAGGCGCGCAACCTCGACCGCGCGTGCTTCGATCGCCCGCCATGCCAAAGTCGGGGCCGAAGCCGGGTTCTTGGAGTGCTCAGCGAGGAAAATGCATAACTTGGCGCACATGCGGAACGCGTGGAGGACCTCTGGGGTAAGTTGCGCGCGCACCTTACGCGGGGCCGCAACGCCCACGCGCAGCGCCAGGGCGGCATGGTCACTAAGCCGACGGTCGCTGAGCATAGTCGCGCCATGCTGGGCGTGGACCTGAAGTAGCAGGCTGGGAAATGCATGAGCAGGAAAGCTGCAGAAGATGCGGTCGACGCGCGTCTAGGCGGCTGCGCCGGGGTCGCATCGCGGCGGCCCCCCAGAGGTGGTCTCCGTCGCGCGAGAAAGTGTCGCCGCCAACTGGACAGCTGAAATGCACGTCCGCCTGGCGCGGGGAATTGAAGGGGCCCGGGCGATGAACCTGAGACGCAAGTTCGTCGCGAATATTGGAACCGCCAAGAACCAAAAATATCCGATCCATAGGACGCTGCTGCGCCCATAGCTGAGAAGCTAGCAAGTAATGGAAGATCGCCTTGCGTTCGACGGCGGGAATGTCCTAGTTGCGGGTATTCATGGTGGCATGATGACGGCGAGACAATCTTGGCCCTGAAAATATTAGAGAGCGTACTCTGCCAGCCGCCAGGACGCGACGCAATACAATGACCCGCGTTGAAGACAACGGTGGCATCGCAACAACCGACGGCCACATAGATCCTCGGGAGGTCCAGGGAGGCGTGCTCGGTGGCGTTGCCGCAGGTGGAGAGGAGGGCGGCATTCGCGCGGGCCATGATGACGTAGGGGCCGCGGCCGTGGGCGTCGATGCCGGGGCGCTATAAGGCGCAGGACGACCAACAGGAGCGGAAGGCGGGGGCGATCGGGCGTTGACATCTCGCTGGTCTACCCCCAACCCGAGCCCAACAGTGTGATTGTCGCGAGTGGGGGCATCGGGCGCAGCCGTTACCTGCAGCGGGGAGCGAGCAGTCCATGTCGTAGAAGCAACGTTTGCCAACTCCCTCGACGGCAGCCTGGTCGGTCATGTAGACAAGGTGCTCAGACCACTGCAAGGTGTCGCATGTCCTGGAGTGGCCGAACCTGCGCCTGAGGATCGCGCCGTAGGACCTGGTCGATGCAGAGGTCGGTCCACCTCGCCTGGCCGCGCACGTCGGGGGAGCGCACTGCGTTGGCGAAGAGCACCTCGCCGTGCCCGATGTGACCGATCGCGAGGGCCGCGACGCAGCACTCGCCAAATTCGGCAGGGGATCGGGTGTGGAACCGTTTGTGGCGGATGCCATTGCGCTAGAGACCCGAGCGCGTGTGGGCGATTGAGCAAAGAGTTGTACCATCGAGGTGTCTTCTATATCATTATGCATGGCCTCCAGATGTCCGTCCCCCAAGATAAGGGGGGAGGCCAACATCGCGCGAGTGAGTTGGCCCTCGCCATGGTCGCAATCGTTCATTGAGCAGGCGACGGTGAACAAGTTCGCGTTGGCGCTGGGGGCTGCTACCAATCTCGCTACAAACTAAATCCCTGTTCGCGCTCCGAACCACTGCGGCCTCATGCCAGGCCAGCCTGCACATGTTATCCGCGAAGCTCTGTGGCGTAGCTGTGTATGTATGTATATACATATATATATATATATATATATGTATATACATACATATATATATATATATATATATGTATATACATGCACATGAACAAACAGCGAGTCGACCCGACGGCGTCGCAACTGCCTAAGGACAACTGGAACGCACTGATCAAGCCATTGCGAGACATCGCCCATCTGAACGCCATCGAACAGGACGCTGGGAAACCAACGTTCAGAGATGAAACCTACCACGTGGGATAGTTGAGCAGCTGGATCTGAAGTATCATGATCGTATGAGGAACCTTCTGGAGATGATGGCGCTGAAATAGCGCTGGACAGCAGGTATGTCCATAGAGGAGTAACTGAAGAGATAATGCCCAATACAATCACCGCCACCAAGAGCACTGGAATCGGCGTTTGGGTCGGTCGTCGGACGAGATGTCTGAGGTTGAGGTCGAGTCGGGCGAAGAGCTTGTTGAGGAGGATGAAGACTTGCTTGCCGAACCTGTTGGCGTAACCGACGCAGAGTGAAGCTGATGCAGGTCAATGAGGTCCATGTCTGAGCCTTTGGGAATGAGGAAAGCCGTGCCACCAATGCTAGGGTCGACAGTGTCGTTATGCATAATAATGTATTGGAAAGGGCGCGATTGTAGAGCTCGTCTCAGCCTCGGTAGGTCACCATGAACTCCTTGGAGGAGAATGGTGCATTTTCGACGCAGTAAGGGGAAGCAGAGCAACACATTTGGCCTTGCGTCGGCGAAGATTGACCGTGAGAAGACCGCGTGCGTTCCATGTTGCCAGCCGCAGCGCCAAGGAGCCACGATTGCGCTGAATGTTACCCCCAAGAGATGCCTCGATCCTCCGAACAGAAGTCGTGGAAGGATTTGGTCATGGCTGCTGTATCCACTCGAAGATCTCGCTCGAGATGAATGTTCCGTACGAACTTGGTATGAGCGGCGGCAGTGGTACCTACCTCCAGCCGCGCAAGCGGGACACCGCCACTGGTAATGCGGCCCCTTTTCTGCTTGTAGGGGCGAAGGTTGGCGTTGGGTCGGGCGTCGGAGACGAGCCGATGAAGGCGTCGCGTCTGAATCTCACGGCGAATATGTCGAGGGCTGCGATCTGCGCTGACATAGAGCTGAAGTGTTTGCTCAATGACCGCTTGCGCCTGGAATTGCCGCCACGCACCTCCCTGGACACGGAGGCCACGTGACCAAGAAGAGGAGAAGGAGCAGGAGGAGGGCAACGAAGACAAGGAATACGAGAAGGAGGAATATGAGAAGGAGGAGGACGACGAGCCCCGAGGATAAAGCCCCCTATCGAGTCTAGCTTGGGCTCTACGTTTTCCCAGGGATCTAGCCTCCTATCGAACCCTACTGCTCCAAGGTGGTCAACCTTCATTTTCCACTGATCCAGCCTCCTATCTAGTCCTACGATTTGCGAAGGATTCAGCCTATGCACGTTTTCCAAAGGATGCAGCCTCCAACCAAAGGATCCAGCCTCCAAGAAATTCAGCCTCCTCCTATCGAGTCCTATGTTTTCCCAAGTGCGAAGACGCCTCAGGCGAAACGGGTTGGCCCACATCACACGCGGCATCTCTGATTCCGCAGTTGCATATAATTATCAAACGAAACTGGCCAGACCACCTCGCGTGGGATCTCGGAGCCCAGAATTGCGAGGATGCCTCTAGCACAACAGGCCGGACCGCCACCCGCACGGCACCTCGGGGCCCAAGTTTGCGAGGATGTCTCAAGCGAAAAGGACCAGACCACCTCACGCACGGCCAGAATTCGAAAGATACATCAAGGGACAGGCTGGGCGCTGGCCAGATGTTTGAGGATGAATCGAGCGAAACGCTGTGCGGCCAGAAGGCCTTTGTCCACAACAGGACCCCGGTCAGCACAGCTTCTAGGGGAAGTGCGCAAGGACTGAGAACGATGGTGGCGCGTTGCGGCTGGGCTTGGGTGCGCAAGGTCGGGCCCACCATGGCGGCCAGCACCAGCGCAACGCCGCCGTGGGCTGCCACCTGCGCGCACTCGCGGGGGCCCTCGGCTGAGAACGCCGTCAGCAGGCAGCAGCCTGCCTCCTGCGCAGAGGGGGAGGGGGAGGCGAAGGACCAACAGCAGCAAAGGTACGAGCAGGAACAAGGGGCGAACTATGATAATAGAGGAGGGTAATAGCACCAGCAGCAACCTTGGCGCCACATCACTCGCCTGTATGTGTTTCGCCTCGCTTGGGACCCCGATCCGTGCCGCGCTGGTTGCCGTCCTATCACCTTTCCTGTTGCGGGACGTCGGTGTGTGGCCCTAGCCTCCCGCTGATTACGATTGTAACGCTTGCTTTCTCGTTGTATCCTCAAGCGTCCAGATTCGCCGAGGCTGCATAATGTCAACATAAAGAAGTGCATGGACACGGAGGAGGAAGAGAACGACGCAGAAGACAACGAAAACGAGCGCGAGCACCATCACCAGGACGAGGGACCCTCGGCAAAAGCCCTGGACCTCTTCGGGCAGGTGCCCAAGATGCCCATGCCCATTCGAGGAGTAAGCGTAAGAATCGCCGTCTTGAATTCGGCATCCCAACCCTCACGGGCGGATCAGGCGGGCGGGACATTGAAGCGAGCGGCACGCTTCGAAACAAACGAACGGGCGGCTTAAGACTTCACCTGATGCATTCGCGGGCGACGTACCGAACCCATCCCAAGCCTGCCCCCATGGCAGTTCGCGGTGACTCACGAATGATGGCGTGACAGGGGCCGCGACTTGTTGCAAGTTCAACTGAGATGATTGCGCATTGCAAGACGCACAGCACAGACGTGAGCGAGGCAATCCTTCAAGCTATGGCATGGCGAGAGAGCGGGGGGGAAGCAACAGGACGAAAACGAAAAAGACTACAAGATGGAACAAAGACCGCGGACCGCATGGAAGGCATGACGGGCAAGGTACCGTCTGGGTCCGCGTAGGACGTCCCTCCCGATTGACCTCCCAGGGGCCCAAGAACTTCCCGACTGTCGCGCAGCTCGCAACCCCCAAGGCGGGCCGCTTGAACCCGCGTGGGGGGAGCTCCGATGGACCCCACGAAAGTGGCGACTATCTCGCACTTCGCAGCCCCCATTGGGAAAACAGCGATTCATTTAGACCCACGTAAGACAGCATCCCGTTGAACCCACGTCCGCGGCAATCCGTGGGCGGCGAGGTCGAACCCTGATACTAGTAGGATAGGACCGCACTACGTTGGACACCCCAGGAGCCCACGAAAACAGCGACATATTCAAAAGACGCAGCCCCCAGGGACCGCGAGGTCTCTGAGCTGGGCCGAATCAAACTGCGCTCGACCTCCCAAGAGACAGCGAAAAGGGCGACAGTTGTGCAGATGGCAACCCCCAGGGACGGCGATGTCTAAGTCAGATCTGGGAGGGACCGCAGTACCATGGACCACCAGGGAGCCCACGAAAGCGGCTATAGATTCGCAGTGCGCAGCCCCCACGGAAAGGCGAGACAGTTTCGAAGTTCGAAACTTCCGAGGAAAGGCGATGTATCAGTATGTCCTGGGCAGGACTGCGCTAGGCTGGACCCCTCAGGAGCCACCACAAGTGGCGATAGCAGCGTAGTTCGCAGCCTGCAGCCGCGCAGTTCGCAGCCCGCAGGGACGGCGAAGTAGGACCACACTACGCTGCAACCCCAAACCCCTAGGCACGGCTGGGCCGATTTCTATAGTGGTAGGACCGCGCTGCGCTGGACTCACAAAAGAAGCTACCGCTTCGCACTTCGCAGCCACCCACGGAAAGTGAGGTCCAGCAAATCTTGGTACGAAGGGCCGCACTGCGCTGCCAAGAGCACACGCACGCACGCACGCACGCACGCACGCACGCACGCACGCACGCACGCACGCACGCACGCACGCACGCACGCACGCACGCACGCACGCACGCACGCACACACACACACACACACACACACACACACACACACACACACACACACACACACCACACACAAAAACGCACCCACGTGGCTACACAACTCGCAATTCCCAGGGACGGCAAGGTCTACGTCCAAACCTGATCTAGGTTGGGACGCACTACGCTGGGCTGAGCCCCCAAGGTGCCTACGAAATGGACGATATCCTCGCAGCTCGCAACCCCCAGAGACAACAAAGTTTCACCTAACTCGCTTAGCGCCGCACCACGCTAGACCCCCCGGGGCCACACGAAAGCGGGGACGGCTTCGCAGTTCGCAGCCTGCGGGGGGGAATCTCGTGATATGACCTGCGTGTGGCGTCACCCCGATGAGCCTCCCAAAAGACCACGAACGTGGCGACAATTTGGCACTTCGCTGACTCCAGGGAAAGCGAGGTTTATGTCTGATCCGCGTACGCCATCATTCCACTGGGCCTCCCAGGAGACCACGAAAGTTGCCACATATTCCCAGCTCGCATCCACCAGGGGGCGGTGAGGTCGAACCTGGGTCTGCGTATTATGCCACTCCTCCGGACATCCCAACTGACCACAAAAGTGGAGACAATTTCACCCGGCGGGTCCCCCAGGGGACGGTGAAGGCTGATCTGGGTCCGCGTGGGACGTCACTGCGATGGGCCTCGCCAGGGGCCCACGAACGTGGCGACAGCACAGTTTGCAGCCCCCTGGCATGGCGATGTCTAAGATGGGCCCACGTAGAACGTCACACCGCTGGGCCTCTCAAGAGACCACGAAGATGGAGAGAGTTTGGCCGCTCGCGGGCCCCAGGGGGAGCGAAGTATATGTCTGATCCGCGCGCGACGTCACCCCGCTGGGCCTGACCGCGAAAGTGGCTACGCATTCGCAGTTCGCAGCCCCGAAGGAACGGCCAGGTCGAACACAGGGCTGCGTACAACTGCGCAGTAATCACATGAGATAATAACTCTTGTTATAAGAAGTCTCGAGGTTGAGAACCCTAAGGCACCCCAGAGTTTCTGCGGGTCCCTGAAACCATCGGAAGATAAGAAATACCCGCGCGGCGCCTGCGAACGGAGGTAGGGAGCCGAAAGGCCTAACCGTCCGTCCGAAAAAAATCTGTAGGTAGCAGAAGGATGACAACGATGAAGGGTCGTATCTCCCGACGCTTTTCTGTCCTGCATCCCAGTGAGAGATTCAAGATATTCAGTACCTGAACCGAGAGGGGCAGCAACAAAGAGAGGTAAGAGTGGGACAGATAAGGGATGACCTCTCTCTCTCTGTCTTTCTCTCTCTCTCTCTCTTTCTCTCTCTCTCTCTCCCTCTCTCTCTCTCTATATATATATAACATGCACGCACACCGTCCCGAATCCCGCCGACAAGCATATCCCTCGACAAAGCAAGCGGGCAAGGACTTAGGGATAGAGGCTGGAGTTCCATCTCGCCACTCACCGCGGTCAAAATCCTTGCCAAGGGCCCGTAGCCCCCCCTGGCGCGCGCCCCCCAAAACGCTTCGGGCACGCAGGGATGCCAAGGAATGGGGCGCGACAGGGAGAGCCAAGGGGAAGAGTAGAACAGATGTCTGGCGGGTAACACGGCGGATGACAAAACGGCGCGGGCGGCGCAGGTGTCTCCACCAGCAAAAGAAATATTAAGTAAAGGAGGCGGGACAAGCCGAACAGTTTCGGCTGGTCCCAAGAGCCCCTCCCCAGGGCCGCTTTGGGCCCCCGTAGCGCCACCCCCCAAAATAATTTAGGGCGCCGGCAGACGGGGAAGGACTACTCCCACCAAAGCTCTACGGTACTGACCAAAACCGCGTCGGTATGTCCGATTCGCCAAATGCGCACGTGCCAAAACAAGGCAGGTAAGCCGCACAGAGTATTCGGCGATGCGCCAAATCCGCACCTACCACAGTGAGGCAGGCAAATCGCTCAAAATCAATAGTGATGTACCGCGCTGGGAAAATAGTACAGAATCAAAGTACTGCGCGGTGTAATTTAAGATGGTAAACAAAAGCGAGGCATATATCAGTCAGCATTGTTATCATCACTTGTGATTCAAATGGTGTTTTGGTTCTGGCAGCATCTGACTGCACACAAGAAGAGAGAACATAAAACATCATGTCCCACATTCTTGAGTCATGGAAGATCTGTTTCGCATATCGCGGGTCATTGTTGTCCGAACTACACCAACACATGTATGTGCGTCCATTGTCAGAGTGAAGGGGCCGAGCGGTCATTCATTGTCCCTGGGTGCGTGGCTGAAAAATGAACTCGTGGTGAGAATTATGCGCGTTGCGCTGTTGAACTCAAAAATAATTGATGCTCCCCTCCTCTCCGGTGCACATTGATTTTTCAATTGAAGTGCCCCTCCTGGCGCCCGCACCCTGTTGTTTATCAGGGAAAGTCTTTGTCCTCAAACTGCGTTGCTGGCCCCAGGGTTACAACGACAACGGCTCCCGCCTGACACTTCCTCACAATTTAGCGAGGACGCCTTAGACTTCCTCGCATCTTGTTCAGGAATCGCGCTCTCGCCCGGGAATTCTGCTTTCCCGGCGCTCTGGAGTCGCGCTATCGCTGGAATTCTCCTCGCAATCTACTCGAGAATTGCGCCTTCGCGTTGGAATTTCACAAAATACACTCAAGCGCCGCGCCCCCGACACCCAGGCATCCAGGAGTCGCGCTCACGCTTGGGACTCCCTCGCAGAATATTTAGGAATCGAAACCTCACTAAGCTTTCGTGGCCCCGTTGCATCCCTTCGTGGCCCCCTCGCTGCCCTTCGTGGACCCGTTGGAGCCCATCGTGGCCCCCTTGCTGCCTTTCGTAGCCCCGTCGCAGCCCTTCGTGGCCCCCTCGCTGCCCTTCGTGGCCCCGTTGCAGCCCTTCGCGGCCCCCTCGCTGCCCTTCATGGACCCGTTGCAGCCCTTCGTGGCCCCCTCGCTGCCCTTGGTGGCCCCGTTGCACCCCTTCGTGTCCCCCTCGCTGCCCTTCATGGACCCGTTGCAGCCCTTCGTGGCCCCCTCGTTGCCCGCCGTGGCCCCGTTGCAGCCCTTCGTGGCCCCCTCGCTGCCCTTCGTGGCCCCCTCGCAGCAACTCGTGGCCCCCTCGCTGCCCTTCGCGTACCCGTTGCAGCCCTTCGTGGCCACCTCGTTGCC